AGGATAAAGGGTTAAGCACTCGTAAAAGCTAAATGTACTAACTGCTCAGCTAGAGAATATGGATGTCGACAAAATGAGATTCTCAGCCTGACAGGTTGTCTGGGTATGTTTTATGTACCTCTAGAGCATATCATTTATCTTTTGAGAGTTCATTTATTTTAATAACTACAAAAATCTCATTTCTATGCTAAGATTTTTTTTAAATAAGCATTTTTATTTCTTCTTTAAATTATTTTAAAAGATCTTTTTCTAATTTTTCTATCCCACATCTAATATTTTCTATGGAATCTCACCAAAGTGGTAAATAATGTGATTTAGGGAATTATAATACCAGTTACTAATACCAAGACCAATGACTTGATCTGATACCAGCACAAGAAAACTAAGAATTCTTAATGCTTGTAATGAGGATGTTCCTTACAAGTCATTGCATGCATCATCCAGACAGCTCTATTAAGAAGCTACGTATACCTTCTAAGGCTGCATCCAGGCGATCATGGCCATGTGGCGCCGCAGACATTCAAGTTTTCTCCACGCTGCAAGGCGGGGGGGAGTTGACCCCTGGATATCCAGGGGTCAACAAAACCTGCTCAAAAAAAGTGGAGCAGCGCACTTTGGCTGCCGGCCAGGCTCCATGCAGCAGGATCACCACTGCTGCAGCCCCAGGAGGCCCCCAGGACCGCAAGTAAGGTTGCTGGGGCCAACCCAGTGCTGACTCCAGCCTCCCCTACCCCACTCGGGGTAACTTGCTGCATGCCAAAGCGTACATGGCACAGGTGTTCCCTGGGGACAACTAGCAACAGCACAAGGTGTGGCACTGCTAGTTGTCCCCGGGCAGCCAAATGTCCAAGCTCATGTGGACATGGCCTAATGGTTGCAGAAGAGGCCAAATGATAATTTATGAGAATTTTTCAATCATCAGAGGAAGGAAATACCTGAAGAAATACTTTTTTAAAGAAAAGGCTTAATGTTGCAGTCACTGGGCAGTTGCTAGGGCTAATCAGGGTGTCATGCCCCTAATGCTGGCAAGAGAAGAGTCAGAAGTAGCATGCAAGAGGTCGGCTCAGAAAACATGTGGAGGAGTGGCAACAGAAGACACTGCATGGCAATTTAACATAACATGATCTCCACAACCAAATTGATCATCAGGACTTAACTGCTTGGTGAGATGCAAAGCTCTTTAGTGAAAGGGAGCACATCCCTCAGACCCAGCGCCACCTGCTTCAGCTGCTGTGGCGCCTCCTCAGGCCACGCCAGCTGTGCACTTGGCCCCACATCAGGGCTGAGCCAGGTCCTGCACAGCCCCAGCACCATGGACAGGATGTGGAAAGACTCAGCATGCCCAGTGGAGGCCACCCTGCTGGGACCAGCCCCCGCTACCCCCATGGCAATCTGGGGAGGGCCCAGCTTGGCAGCATGGAGGAGCCTTCCAGGTCGGGGCCACAGGGGCCTTAGCACAGCAGGAGGCACAGGGAGCTCATCACCCTGCCTGGGCCGCACCACTGTGGGGGGGCCAGGCAGACCCACCATGGGCTGCAAGTCTCGCTGCTGTGGTGGGAAGGCTCTGCCTGACCCCAGGTAGCGGCCATCATAGATGTTTTCTGCTACTCTGCCCTCTGTCCTCTATTGATATGAAACCTAATGCCTTTATGCCCTCTATTTTTATCTTCAAGTGAAAAATAGAGGACATAAAGGCGTTGGGTTTCATATCAATAGAGAACAGAGGACAACCGGACTGCCCTCTATGATGGCCACCCTACCCCAGTGGAGGGGCCCAGCACTTCCCTCCCTCCCCATGGCAGCAGGATCTGGGTACAGGAGAGGGCTGCAGCCCCAGTTCCATCCTCAGCCTAGCCCCAACCCCTGCCTGGCGGGGAGTGGGGAAGCCACAGCTGGGCAGCACCCCCTAGTGGCTCCCCCCCACCCACCGTCCCCCACCCACAGCTCCCCATCAGCAGCCTGGGGCCGGCATAGCACCAAGTGTATGGTGAAGACATAAAGGGTCAAAGCCATTCCTGCCAGAGGTCGCTAAACAGTAAGTGGTAAATGGTATAAACATAACTGTCGTTTAACCATTTACATCCCTACATCCTTGACCTCAATTGTAAGGAAAAGATTTAAATTGAAGAGCTTTTTATGTTGAGCCGCTCTACAGCTCCTGTTTTATGTTGCTTTACACCCCCCCCCCATGGGAGACCATGACAATGGTAGGAACAAAGTCACCATTACCGTTCACATTTTTTCTTGCAGTTTCAGAATACATTGTTCTGTTCACTTGCATGAAACTGTATGTTTGTGAAAATACCTCTGTTAAACAAGTGCTCATGGTTTTGTCCTTGCACTTATCTCCAAGCCCATTCAACTGGAAAGTGCTTCATCCCCAACTGTGTATTTACTCTGCATTTTCTTTTGTGTAGACACAATCGATTTTTTATTTTTGACTCTTTCTACTGAAACACTGCTTATTAGGTCAGGCAGAGGGCATATCTTATCACGTATTCCATGTGTCTTTTCAGGTTCATCCCAGCTGCTTGGTATATTTTATTTTCCATTAATTGATTTTTGGTGACTACGCTTTTGAAATGTGTTTTTAAGTAATAGTTTATTCCTGCCATTAAAGATAATAATGGCTTCTATCAAAGATGATTAAAAATCACTGCATTTTCAATGTGTACATGATGCACCTCATTTTAGCTATGGGCCTATCAAGAAC